ACCTCGTTGCTCAAATATCTACGGAAAGCAGTCACAAAAGAGTCCTTGACATAAGCAAAGCAGATTCCATTTTTTATTCCAGTGACTGCCCAGAGAGGAATTTGTACGGGATTCACCCAGCCCTGGTAGAGAATGCGGAACATGAATCTCGCTAATCAGGGGAATTCCTAGAGGAGAAAGCATCACAACCTGCCTTTGCCCAAAATGAATCTCTTTCACATGTCCTCCCTGCTATTCTGCCGAGCACCTGCAGATTTAGAAGTGGGATGTAGGTTTGACTCCAGGTCTCTAGAGGAGTAAGGGCATTCTTAGAACACTGCCCTTGAATGGTTTAAAATCAGAGGAGATGGATTGATTTGCATCCTACTGTTTAGCCAGAACAGGGGGAGCGACAGTACAATAGAATAATTACCGAAAGCAGATTAGCACTTCAAGGTAATGATTTTTCTCCCTCTCATTTTAGCCTGTCTCATCCATTGCGGTCCTGTCTAGATTAGCATGTGCCTCATTCTGGGCCAGACGCGTTGGCTCTGAATCCCTGTCTTTGCACGTGGAGTTAATTAAGACAGATGGCAACAGCCTCCGTTACCACACTCCAGCGTTAGGATAATGGTAGACCCTGATCTTTGGTACCAGCAGGATAGCTTTGCCTTTCCTTCTTTGAGGAAGGGAGGGGGGCATTTTGGACAGACATCCTGACCTTCGTAACAAGTCCTAGTTCATGAATGAACTTGGTGGGTGGATGAAAGTGCCACATGAGAAGTGCTGTTGTCACGGCAGGTGGGTGTGCTTCAGGGCAGGATGCGCAGTGGGTCTGCTTCTACAGCGGGGGGATCTTATTCAGAAAGTTTTTGAAAGCTGAGGAGACTGTCTGGCTCGAGGGACTGGCCATGCCCCGCACAGCATTTCCTGGCCAAGTGCCAGTTCAGATCTGGTGCCAGGGGACAGTGAGGAACCAGGCGAGAGCTACCTGGGGTCTCATTCTGGTTCGTAGCCTGTGGATAGCAACGTCATAGCAAATGCCACCGTGTTGGTCACTCTTGTGGCCGAGAGCCGAACGTGCCATAGACAAAGAATTAGTCTGTCACCCTAACGGCAGCTGTTTCTGTTGGGGTGGACTGTGCACTCTGTCACTGAGTGTTCGGGATCTGTGGAGAGACGGGGGCTTCTGTTTCCAGAGCTGTTAATCAGGCATCCTGAAGGAGCACTTCCTGTTTCCAGAGCTGTTAATCAGGCATCCTGAATGCCCTCACACAAAACGAGGCTGCCTTGAATTCATCTGGCAGCTGGGGACACACTTCATTCCAGTGTATTACCACCTTTCAAACGTTAACAGCTAGTCAAAGGCAACAAGTCAATCAAAGGAGGTTTGTCAGTCCGATCCCGATGTATTAATGCACATAGACGCATGCGGCACGGATGGGGGAAGAACCAAACGGGGTATTTATGACGGAGATTAGCTATTTTTTAATATAGCATAATGGAAACCTGGAGGCATGATGCTCGGAAGTAGAATAGCCAGGGCCGGGGGTGCAATCCACACAGAAGCAGCAGGAGGATGTGGATAGCTATTGCGATAGCCGTATTTACAGCCGTGGCAAGATCTCACGAGGCGAGGGAGAGCGTGGCGTAAGATTCTTTGGGTAAGAATGCAGAGAGGGGGAAGATCAAGGAGGAATGGCAAGGGGGCATCTGTTACCGACTACTAGGACTACACAAGAGCAAGAACCAATCCATGGGGGACTCCGCCCCTCAGGATGCTGTACTCACCCGGGATTTCAGCTGCTCAGTTACCTGCTGACTGACAAATACAGCCCAACCGGCTTCCTCACAGAGGCTCCTGGGCTAACCACGTGCAGTTAACGTGAAGGGGAAGTTGTCCTGGCTCAGGCACTTCCCAAGAGACAGGAGCAGCAAGAATGAAAGGGAAGTTTGAGACCAACCGCCGTGTGCGATTTGAATTCAATGGGATCACTCCAGGCAGCAGCTCAGGGGTGCCAGGAGGGCAGATTGTGCGGAATTACCCAGGTGGTGGGAGGAGGTATTAAAATTCCCCATCAGGGAAGGCAGTCGGGGAATCCCAAACAAAAACATCATCATTACAGCTCCCCAGACTAGACGGACCCTACACACACAGGACGCCAGGGGGGGCTGCTGGGAGATCTCAGGTTAAGAGACCCTGCCCCAGAGATGGGGAGGAAATGACAGCAAGACACAGAGTTCAGTAACTATCCACAGAGGAAGGATCAGCATAGCAATAAAGCAGGTGCAGACTCGACGCTAAAGAGGCAAGAGGCTCAATACATCCGGGGGAGGAGGGAGGGATACATTCTGTTCTTATTTATATTTGTGTTACTCGAGCGCCCAGGCTCCCTGTAGAGTGCCATTGTGCGAGTGTGCAGACGCGCTGCAAGAGACAGGCCCAGCTGGAAGAGTTTGGGGCTGACCAGGTGAGTCAGAAAAAGGGGGTGAATACTCACTGGGCTACTCTCAAACAGCTCCACTAATAAATGAGAAGGGGAATGAAATAAACCCTGGCTCAAAAAGAGCTGAGACCCTGAACTGCTTTATTTGGATCTTTTCTAAAGCAGAAAAATACCGACAGGATGTTTAAAGAGCAAGGAAATGAGGCGTCCTTGTTAAAGACCAGGCAAGGGAATACTTAGAAAAGCTGTACTGAGATCAGCCAACCAATCTGATGACATGCATGCGAGGGCACCTAATGTCCCTGGAAATCAATGGGAACATCTCCACAAGGTAGACGGGGGCTGGATCAGGCCTCCAAGGGCGCAGTGCACAAACTCTCTTGCTGGCACGTAACTGAAAAGTTGTGGAAAACCTAGAAAGTGTCACAAAAGTGGCAAAACGCAAGCCCAGGGTCGAATTTCTGCCAAGGGAAAGTGAGCCATCAGAGAGACTGCAAGCCTGCAAAGCCATTTGTATCAAATGAATAGTACAATTGGAGGGACCGATAAGTAACCTGGTACTACAATGGAACCATGCGCTGTAAACAGCGTGGGCTTGTGAAGAACAAGAGCACATTGGGTCAGACACACTCGATTGCTTTTGTGATAGAGTTACAGAATCAGCAGAGGAAGGAAAGGCAGAGGATGGGGATTTCCTGTAGTCTAGGCAAACGTTTGATACAGCGTCTCATGAAATCTCGCTCCTGAGTTAGCTCAGGTGATTTGGCTTCCGGATACTGGCCTGTGGGCTGCAAACTGGCTGAAGGAAACACAAGGTTACAGTAAACAGCAAAGCATGGAGTATCCCCGGGGGAACGTTGCTAGCTCAGTGACCCAGGTGTTAGGTTTGGTCTATATTTAATATGTTCATTAGGGATCTCAAAGAGGGAATAAAGAGTAAACATGGGTGGAATCGGCAGATGGTACCAACCGGGGTGCATTTGTGAATACCTCTGTGGAGAGAGCCTTTGCACAAAGACACCTAGGCGCTTAGAAATGGTGACAAAAACAGCCACGAGATTGTTTGAAAAACCTCTAGCTTATGCATCTAGTGCGGAAGGAATCAGAGATGCTCCTTCTTCCCTTCCACGGAGGTATCGGAAGGGACTGACGTGTGTCTGGGGACAGTAAATTGCAACGTAATTCAACAGCAAGCAATGCCAGGGCAGATCCAGGCTGCATACACAGACGTCTCCCATCCCACAGCAGGGAGGTAACGATCCTGCTCTGTCTATAGCGGGTGAGGGGGGCTGAAATATTGCTTCAGTTCTGGGTGGTCTGTCACTAGAAAGATTGTGACAACTGAGAGAGGCAGATCAGAGGACAGCAAGAGGAGTGACTGGGGGCCAGAGGCAGGGACCAGTGGGGAGGGATTCAAGTGCTACAGCCAAGCTAAGTGACAACTTCAGTGGATGACCTGCTAACGGTCCACAGATCTCGGCACGGTGTTCCCACCAAGGAGGTACAACGCAGGGCGGGCGACAACGCAGGGCGGGCAAACTCAGTCATGGGCTGAGATTAAGAAAGCGCAGCTTGAGGCTGAGCATCAGGAGTGTTTCTGGTCAGCGAGATCTGGGGACGCATCAGATCCCAGCATCCATGAGGGGACACCCCCATAGCGAACGGAAACAACCACCGTGTGCCGGCAGACACGGGCCTCATCCGTGCCCAGCCCCAGGACTCTGCAGCGATCACCCGGAGCTGGCAAGGCCAACGGAGGCTGGTAGGCCTGGGAGGAGAGGTTCTCAAAGCCGACAGCCTTCCTCGGCAAGCACGGCTGCTTGTGGAGGCGAGGGGCTGACAGGAGGGGTTCCGTGCCAGTTCACCTCAGTCTTGACAGCAGCACCCCTGCTGCTCCTACTGCTCCCTCACAGCGTGGTCAACGCCCGTCAGTCCCGACTGACACATTTTCAATTCAGTTCCCTGCAGCTTCATTGGCACAACAAGCTGTTCCCTGCTGCTGAGGCGTAAGGGAGAGGCAGACCCCTCAGAGACCTGCCAGAGGGGTAGGACCCCGCCAAGAGGCATCTTTTGTCATATCCGTCCCCGCTCTGGTGGCAGGACACAATTCGCACCACTCATGTCCTAAATCTCCACCCGGCTGATTAGACGCATCTCAGTCCCAACCTGCGATTCCTCCTCTGGTCACGGCACCTAGGGACCCTGACCAAGGCCAGAGCGCTACTGCTCCACGGACACGGTGAGCCGGTCTCTGCCCCAGGCAGCTCACACTCTAGACAGCACAGAGGGGAAACGAGGGAAGTGACTAGCCCAAGGCCACTAAGCTGGCAAGGAGGTCTCCTGACTTCCTAGCCAGTGCTCACTCTGCTTGACCCTCCCTCCAGTGGCCAAGTGTCCAGGAGAAACTCACGATGAGACCAACCAACACGTCTGCACTCATGTCCTAAATGCCGCCTGAAGGCAAGTCCTCCGAGGAATCGTGACGCGCACCCTCCAAGACTCCTCCCCGGGGCCCTTCTCCCAGCTGAGAGCACAGCTCCCTCAGCACCGGCGGGTGGTGGAACTCATGCCTACCTTGGCATCCAAGATGCTGGTCTCCACGCGTGCCACGCCCTGGTTTTCCCTGAACAGCTGGATCTTGCTGACCTTGCTGAACTCTGACAGCACCGTGGTGAGGTTGGTCTTCAGGTCGATGACGTGGCTGATGCCGTGGCGGGGGCCCACCAGGAGCATGGTGGCCGGCTGCTTCTCGTCCTGAGAGGGCGTCCATCCAGCCAATTTGAAAGAGAGACAGGTGTGTGAAAAAATGCCATGTGGCTGTCTATGGAAAGGCTGCCTGGCCAGCCCCATGTGAGCCCTGTTCCTTCCACAGCACCAAGCCTGCAGCCAAGGCGTTATTTGCTTGGCTGGCTGAAATCCCCCTGGATCTGGGCTGAGGGCGGGGGCCAGGGCTCCAGAGACACGTAATGCAGAGCACGGGGGGCAGCTAATGCTGAGAACACACCTGGAGCTTGCTCTCAGTGCAACACCCCTTTCTGCAGTGCTGGGAATGGCACGCAGGCTGCCAAGACTAGTTAAAAATAAATAGCAGCAATGATTGTCTGCATGAAATATTCAGGACTGCTGTGGCGCTACAGAAAAGTAAAAGCCTGTTACAAAATCGGCTGCTTTCAGATCCCCTCTGAGGACGAGGAAGAGGAGGCTGGTGGAAGGGGAGGAGGACGAGTGGGTCGAGGGGATGAAATTTGCAAAACAATAAAAGAAGCTGATCTCGGATTAAAAATGGCAATCGGTATTGACGGAGCCTTTCCAGCCGCGACACATGGGGCTGCGCTGGAACATATATCGGGAAAGTTACAAATTGGACAAACAGGAAAATAATTCTGATGATCGTACTGTTATTGTCCTAATACATATACTGCACCTCAGCCAGGCCTTTCATCGGAGCACATCAAAATGCTGTCTGGGCATTAACTCTCTGGGCCCCTCCTGGTCGTGTTAGGTCAGTCTCTCTACCCTTGTTTTACATTTGAGGAAACAGGCACAGAGAGCTGTCGGTTTCCCAAGGATACACGGCAAGTCAGAACCCAGCAATGGGATTCAGGAATCCTGAAACCGACTCCTCTGTTGTAACGCCTTGACCACACTGCCTGCTTCATACAGCCTGGCCTGCTTGGGGCTGTTGGGCTAGCTGCTTCTGGAGTTTTTACAGAATTATGAAGAAGTACATAAAAAGCATGTGGCAGCAGAGCAACCCAATGGGGAAGGAAGCAAAGCAAGAGGATGTAGTGAAAGCAGGGACAGTCTGTCTGTGTGGCAGGAGGCAACAATGGCAGATGGATGACACTTACAACAGAATGGAGAGCCATGGATGGAGGGCGGCCCGAGGGCCACTAGAGATGGAGATGAGCCAGGCAACTGGGAACCTTGGCAGGTCCTACAGGCTCATGGTTTGGCTGCGTGGCCTTCATCCTGCAGTGGACAAAACGAGTTGATGTGTTGATGAGGATGAGGAGTAGGAAAAAGGAGGAGACTGTGCTCCAGGAAACTGTATCCAGGAAACAGCTTCCAATTGCTAACGGCTGGGATTGCTAATCATGGAAACGTCAAGGCTGTCGGATCTATTCCTTGCAAGGGTGGAACGGGGAGCGCTATGTTTCCTGGGACTCGGCTCTCCATCTAGGCACCCCTCACATAGGGAATTGGGGGACTGGATGCTTCCAGGCCTTTCACACTCGTGGCAGAGGGAAAGATGAGCGGTCAAAGGGCCAACGACAGCACAGCCACTTCACTTTTACAGTGGCAAACCCTGGCAAACAGGACTGGGATTTAAAAGCACGGCCGAGGCTCTTTAAAATTAATTGGGGAAAAGATTGTCTAATTAAACAATGACAGACACAAAGGACCCGATCCCCACCTGGTATAAACCAGAGTAGAATCCTTGACTTCCCCAGAGCTACAGCAATTCACGCCAGCTGAGGATCTGGCCCGTAGTCAGTGGAGACTCTGAATGTTTTATGGGCTGCTGTTGGTACTCCGACCTTGCACTGGGAATTCATTAGAATCCGAGAGGCCTTGGGAAATGTCGGCCATTGATTTGGAGATCATGGAGTCTTGTGCACATTGGCTGTGTCTAGCATGATTTTCCGGAAATGTTTTTAACGGAAAAGTTTTCGGAAAAGAGTGTCTAGATCAGCACAGATGCTTTTCCGCAAAAGTACTTTTTGCGGAAAAGCGACCTTGCCAATCTAGACGTGCTTTTGTGCAAAAAGCCCCGAATGCCATTTTCGCGATCGGGGCTTTTTTGCGCAAAACAAATCTCAGCTGTCTACACTGGCCCTTTTGCGCAAAAGTTTTGTGCAAAAGGACTTTTGCCCGAACGGGAGCAGCATAGTCTTTCCGCAAGAAGCACTGATTTCTTACAGTAGGAAGTCAGTGCTTTTGCGGAAATTCAAGCGGCCAGTGTAGACAGCTGGCAAGTTTTTCCGGAAAAGTGGCTGATTTTCCGGAAAAACTGGCCAGTCTAGACACAGCCATTGTGTGTGTTTCTGTGTGCACGTACCCTGCGGGGCATGGCAGCGGCCACCTGCCAATTAGGCGACTCCCTCAGAACCCAGGAATACCCACCCAAAATGATGAGGATGGTCTACTCTGTAACGTGCTGGAATTACCATACCAGTCCCACTGTGTTGAAGAGGACTCCGGCAAAGGTCGGAAGCTCATTCAAGATCCGCAGATACTGGAGTTTTGCCTGGGTTGTTGAGACCTGAGGAAACACATCAGTGTAACAAGGCAAAGACTTGAGAGACTGAAAAAGCTAAGGGGGATCCCGAAGGAGGAGTCAAGGAAGGTCCTCTCCTGAAACTTGGGGGGTGTTTTGGTGCATAGTTTGGGGGGGGGGGTTAGAATTTGTCATTGTCCCTCAAATGACACGTGCCATAGAGACATCCCCAGGTGATGTAGAGATGGCAATGCTGCTCCATTAACAACTGCTGTTGTCGGAAACAGACCTGTTATTTTGCAGCGGGGCAGGGCAACCTTCGAACAGCCGATTGGCCCAGTGATGGAGAACATGCATTGAGAGGTGCAGATATTCCTGCAAACTCCTAGCGGGGATGACGTGTCCCTCTGGGATCTGCCTCTCCCCTGAGAAGTGCCTCCGTCACAAGAACCCTAGCAGCGGCACGGGCTGGGGGCAGCCAGGCCCTTCCCCACGCACTGCCACACACGGATGTGCAGAAGCACAAACAGCAGCAAATAAGCAGAGAGTCAATGGCACTGGTGACTTTCTGGCCAAGTTTCAGGCTGGGTCTTCGTTTCTCTGAACGGCTTCCCCACAGTTCACCGCTGTGAAACCCAGATCAGCCTAGAAATGGATTCCTGGCCGAGCCGGCTAGCAGGCCGTCGCCCCCGGGGATTTACAGCCCACTGCAATGGATTTAAAACATCAATTGCGTCCAATAACACGAATCACTGCTTAGCCATGCACACTAATAGCAAGTGAAAACATAAAAGCTCCTGCTGGTTTATGCCAGTTGCGGCATTTTCTGCCCGGGACCCAGGGTGCGGTTGCGTTGGCTCTGGCTTACCTTGGTGCCGCTGGGCGGCTGGTTCTGATGGGCCTTCAGCTGCTGAGAGAGAGATTTCCGAAGGCTCTTCTCTTTGATGAGCTGCAGAAGTGAAGGAGGCAGGAACGGCTCCAGCCCCCACTCCTTCCTGCAAGCAGAAACAACGTCACAGAGAGCAGCAGGTACTCAGCACCAAGAGGGGCAGGTGACCGAGAATGGAGGGGAGGGAGGAGAAGAAATACCCCTGGCTAGAACTGGAGGGCAGGAGGGGTGGTGGGGAGCAGGTCAGACAGCAGTGTTCCACTGGTCAGGCAGGCCTCATGCTACTGCAGCAGAGCGAATCGAGATGTGAGCCAGATGCAGAGCTCGGGGAGTTTTGGTGCAGGGGCTGGGGTGGGAAGCAGGGCAGGGTTCAATGCATGATGCAAATCTGGGGCCAAAATGAGCCCCCGTGTCAGTCGGTGTAACTGCTCTGCAGTCAACAGCCTCACAACCACTGACACTAACTGAGTACGACTGAATTTGGACCCCAGTTTCTAACATGACGGTTGGTTTCTAAAGGCCCATCCACACTTATAACCAGTGGCTACATCTAGACTGGCATGATTTTCCGGAAATGCTTTTAACGGAAAAGTTTTCCGTTAAAAGCGTTTTCGGAAAAGAGCGTCTAGATTGGCATGGATGCTTTTCCGCAAAAGCACTTTTTGCGGAAAAGCATCCGTGCCAATCTAGATGCGCTTTTGCGCAAAAAAGCCCCGATCGCCATTTTCGCGATCTGGGCTTTTTTGTGCAAAACAAATCTGAGCTGTCTACACTAGCCCTTTTGCGCAAAAATTTTGCGCAAAAGGGACTTTTGCCCGAACGGGAGCAGCATAGTATTTCCGCAAGAAGCACTGATTTCTTACAGTAGGAAGTCAGTGCTTTTGCGGAAATTCAAGCAGCCAGTGTAGACAGCTGGCAAGTTTTTCTGGAAAAGTGGCTGATTTTCCGGAAAAACTGGCCAGTCTAGACACAGCGAGTAAGTGTTGGTCCTCCACTACATTACAGCATTTTTGCTTCCACACCTGAAAGTGCCTCCAGCTCCAGATGGGGTGTTGTCCTTATTCCAAGAGACTGGCAAAACAACAGTTCTCTCCCTTTCCAGCCCTAGTACAACTGTGTGTTATTTCTATCCATTAGGTGCTTTTCAGACAAAGTCTCTGCCCCACCTGGCTTCCAGTTAGGGCCCCTCCCTGGTGTGATGCTAGCACAGACTTTAATACCTCGTACGCTGCTCCACACTATGCCCCACAGGAGGAAGGGGGAGGTTCTGCAGGTTGACCTGACCCCAGACTGCGGAAGAGGATTTCGAAATGCTCCGAGTTCTCCTCCCCTCCAGTGATTGCACACACATTGTGCCGTGGCTGCATCTTTCCAGCCATATTTGGAGGGATCTCAGGGAGCAGATAGGCAGGATGCAAAGGAAGGGAGTGGAAAACATAAGAACAGCCATATTGGGTCAGACCAAAGGTCCAGTGTCCTGTCTGCCAACAGTGACCAATACCAGATGCCCCAGAGGGAGGGAACATAACAGGTAATCCTCATGTGATCCCTCTTCTGTCACCCACTTCCAGAGAAACACATGCCAGGGACACCATTACTACCCATCCTGGCTAATAGCCATTGATGGACCTAACCTCCATGAATCTATCTAGCTCTTTTTAGAACCCTGTTAAAATCCTAGTCTTCACCATATCCTCTGGCAAGGAGTTCCACAGGTTGACTGAGCTGAATGAAGAAAAACTTCCGTTTGTTTGTTTGAAACCTGCTGCCTATTAATATCATCTGGTGACCTCTAAAGTTCTTATATTGTGGGAATAAGTAAATAACTTTTCCTTATTCACTTTTTTCACACTGTGGCGAGTCCCCACTCAGGCCCGTTGGTCTGGGACACCTTCTGGTCCATGAATCAGCCAGCGACGCTTCTGGTGCCATCACCCGTGCTTTTATTGTTAGTTCCCACCACCTTCTATTTACAAAGCTTACAGAGAACTCAGCCAGCTCCTCCGTCAGCCTGGGAGCACACTCAGCCACACCCTGGCTCCTTGCTCCCTCCTGGCCTCCTTCCTCTGCCTCATGAAGCCCACAGCTGTTTCCAACAGCCCTTCAGCCTGGGCTTGCTCCGCTGTTTCCCATCAGCCTCTTCAGTCAGGCTACAGTGGCAGAGCTCTGGCTTAGACAGCCGTCTGTCACACGCACCAGTCATGATTGTACAGACGTCTATCATACCCTCCTGAGTCTCCTCTTTTCAGAGGAAAAGCCTCCAGTCTTTTTCATCTCTCTTCCTCGGGAACCGTTCCAAACCCCTCAGCATTTTTGTTGCCCTTTTCAGAACCTTTTCCAATGCCAAGATGGCTTTTTTGAGAGGAGGCAGCCACATCTGTCGGTGCGCAGGGGAGCTGGAAACAGTAGCTGGGACACAGAAACCCCTCTTGCCTACAGAGGGAGCCAAAGCCACGGCTGAGCATCCCAGCCACAGCCAGGAAGGCTGAACCGTGGTGGGTTTGGGTTGCCGGGGCTAAGAGAACGGTCTCTGACTCCCCTTCCAGGAGTGCTGCACCAGCTTCACTTGGGGGTGGAACCAACCCGGAATTCAAAGCAACTGAGAACCACTCAGTTTCAGCTGGCAAGGAAGGGTTCTCTCGTGGTGACAGCCGGGAACCAGGGCTCCAGAGATCTTAGGTTTACTTCTGACTCTGACACTGACTCACTTTCTGGCTCTGGGCAAGTCCCTTAACCCTGGTAAGCCTCAGTTTTACCAGGTGTGAGAAAGGGATACTACCTACCCTCTCCTCTGATAGGTGGGCTGGGCCTGTGGAGGCTAATTTGTTATTGAGCGGAACATAACCTGGGAGCCTCAGATAGCCTGAGGTAGGGAAACGCAAAGCACCCCGATCATTGCTTATTGAAACGGCACAGCCGGCTGTGGACATCAATCTGGAAATGGCCCCAGATTCACAGCGAAGCCCTCTCCTCTGATGGGTGGGCTGGGCCTGTGGAGGCTAATTCGTTATTGAGCAGAACATAACCTGGGAGCCTCAGATAGCCTGAGGTAGGGAAACGCAAAGCACCCCGATCATTGCTTATTGAAACGGCACAGCCGGCTGTGGACATCAATCTGGAAATGGCCCCAGGTTCACAGCGAACTTCCCCACCAGCCTGCACCGGGCCTGGCCTGTGTAACCAAAGCAGATCCTGCTGGTTCCAGGCATCTCTTTGTAAATGTTTTCTGCGTCCCATTCAGAGCGTGGTGCGGGGCCTGCTGCCAAACCCACTTGCCATCAGCTGATTCTGACCTAGGTCCAGCTGCATCCTAAAGCGCCTCACCCTGCAGCATTCCCCTGCAGACCCCAGGGACAAGGGACCAGCCCTGGCCAAGTAACAGGACACATGACTGGGGAGGGGGGCAGGTCTGGGCTGCGGGGACTGGGAGAGCAGGACTCACTCCACAGTTTTGAGGGACACCTTCTGGGTGGGCCGGGTGGCGGAGACGGTGATGTAGATGTGGAGGGCAGCCAAACCCAGCAGCGTCTCTGGCTTGGGGTCCATCCCAAAGCGCTCCCTGATCACATCGTTGCGGCTCTGGGGTAAGAGAGGAGACGGCTCAGAACCAGACTGGAGCTGGCCCCTTGACCGCTTCATAAACACACCACCTGAGCATCCCCATCCGGCCGCCAGACTGCTCTGCCGTGGGACGGCAGTGCCCCAAGCTGCCAGGCACAAGCCAGCTGCTCTGCAGACAGCAGGGGACTGGTTGGCTTCTCCTTCTACCATCTGCCACCTCAGCAGATCTGCCAGTCTTCACAGGGTCTGACATCTCCATCAAACACAGGGGAGAACAACATTATAGCCATCCCAGAACAGATTTACTGATGGCAGGAAGCTCACACTGCCGGAGTTCTGAGTGGCACTGGCAGGGCCCTGCCGGCGGGAAGCTCACACTGCTGGAGTTCTGAGTGGCACTGGCAGGGCCCTGCCGGCGGGAAGCTCACACTGCTGGAGTTCTGAGTGGCACTGGCAGGGCCCTGCCGGCGGGAAGCTCACACTGCTGGAGTTCTGAGTGGCACTGGCAGGGCCCTGCCGGCGGGAAGCTCACACTGCTGGAGTTCTGAGTGGCACTGGCAGGGCCCTGCCGGCGGGAAGCTCACACTGCTGGAGTTCTGAGTGGCACTGGCAGGGCCCTGCCGGCGGGAAGCTCACACTGCTGGAGTTCTGAGTGGCACTGGCAGGGCCCTGCCGGCGGGAAGCTCACACTGCTGGAGTTCTGAGTGGCACTGGCAGGGCCCTGCCGGCGGGAAGCTCACACTGCTGGAGTTCTGAGTGGCACTGGCAGGGCCCTGCCGGCGGGAAGCTCACACTGCTGGAGTTCTGAGTGGCACTGGCAGGGCCCTGCCGGCGGGAAGCTCACACTGCTGGAGTTCTGAGTGGCACTGGCAGGGCCCTGCCGGCGGGAAGCTCACACTGCTGGAGTTCTGAGTGGCACTGGCAGGGCCCTGCCGGCGGGAAGCTCACACTGCTGGAGTTCTGAGTGGCACTGGCAGGGCCCTGCCGGCGGGAAGCTCACACTGCTGGAGTTCTGAGTGGCACTGGCAGGGCCCTGCCGGCGGGAAGCTCACACTGCTGGAGTTCTGAGTGGCACTGGCAGGGCCCTGCCGGCGGGAAGCTCACACTGCTGGAGTTCTGAGTGGCACTGGCAGGGCCCTGCCGGCGGGAAGCTCACACTGCTGGAGTTCTGAGTGGCACTGGCAGGGCCCTGCCGGCGGGAAGCTCACACTGCTGGAGTTCTGAGTGGCACTGGCAGGGCCCTGCCGGCGGGAAGCTCACACTGCTGGAGTTCTGAGTGGCACTGGCAGGGCCCTGCCGGCGGGAAGCTCACACTGCCGGAGTTCTGAATGGCACTGGCAGGGTAATGCAAAGCATGTTGAGTAACACCGGGACTGAAGTGGCCCGAGAACAGCAACGAGGCAATATTTCTATCGGTCAGTCCTTCCCCCTACCTGGATGTACAGGTACTCGAATGCTGCCGGGTCTCGGTGCAGCAGCTCCACCGGGTCTTTGGGGAAGAAGCTCACCCGAAAAAGGCATCGCATCCCCTGGTAATGAGTCCTCTGCACCACCTGTTGCCGGGGGAGAACACGACCGGGTGAGGCAGGACGCAGGGGTTGCTGTTCTACGGAGCAGAGCGGGGAGCAGGCCGTTAGCCAGCTTTGCATTTCACAGCCCCCCTCCCTGCCCACTTTCCCCACCTGGAAATGGAGATCGGCCCAGACAGAGTCTCTGAGACAAGCACCAGGCTGCAGGGGAGTCAGGGCTGGATTGGAACTTCCCAGCTCAGCCCACCTCTGCCAGGCAGGTGCCAGACCGCCTCCCTGAGAGGAGCTGGCAGGAGCCAGAGCCGTTCCTGCACGAGGAGCTACAGAGGCATCACTAGCCCAGCTCTGCAGGCGCCTACACACCAAGGTCCTATCAGCACCGCAGAGCGGAGCAGACAGGTGCAGGTGCAGGTACTCAGACCTCCTGCTACTCGCCTGCACCCACAGACCCGGCTCCTAGACCTCTCCCGTCCAGGACTCGGGCCTGCAAGACTGGAGCCCACATGGAAAGCCCTTTGGGCACGTGGCCTGCAGCCTGCCCTCTCAGGCGCCTCTCCAGCAGGCCGCTAAGGTTCCCTGTTACACAAAGCCCAGCCGTGCCTTGGTATCACCCTTCGAACACGGTCCCCCCAGCTACGCCCTGCTGCCAAGAGACACGGGGGGAGCTCCATGCAAGCCACCAGAACACCCCTCAGTTGGCCAGAGGGGGCGCTGCAGAACAATGGGAGGCAGGGCCTCTCCCGCCTGCAGAACAATGGGAGGCGTGGCCTCTCCCGCCAATCACACTGCTGCTCCCTCGCCTGCCCCAGCCCCTTCCCAGCAAGCACGCATGCAGTGGGGCAGACCCACAGCCCAGTCGGCCCTTCCCCCTCTTACTGGTGCCCACAGAAGTGCCAGCCAGCCCCTGCTAGCCCTGGGCTGCTAGGGGCAACCCTCCCTCGTGGCCCTAGAGGAGCCTCCATCACAGTGAGCCCCTGGGGTGGGGCTGCTGCTCCCTCGCCTGCCCCAGCCCCTTCCCAGCAAGCACGCATGCAGTGGGGCAGACCCACAGCCCAGTCGGCCCTTCCCCCTCTTACTGGTGCCCACAGAAGTGCCAGCCAGCCCCTGCTAGCCCTGGGCTGCTAGGGGCAACCCTCCCTCGTGGCCCTAGAGGAGCCTCCATCACAGTGAGCCCCTGGGGTGGGGCTGAAACCCACGTGGGGGTAGGTTGCTAGGGGGGGACCTATGCCCTGGACTCCCCTCTTGCCCCCCCTCCGGGCCGGAGGAAGGTACATGGCTCGTGTCTAACCCTGCGAGGAACCGCGCCGGGCAGCTGTCGCTAGCCAGCCAGGATGGGTCTCCTGGCCACACAGAAGGCAGCTGCTTGGCTCCCCGATGCTGTGCCAGGATGTTCCTTAGCCCTGGCCTTCCGACGCTCCCCCCTCGGGGGCAGAAAGCATCTCCGCGTTGCCATGGGAACGGGTGTGACTGACAGATGGCCGATTACTCCCCTCCCTGGCCAGCCCCTCTGAGCACTGACTCCCCCTTGCAGAGCTGAGCCCTCCGGACTCCTCCCAAAGGTGGCTGGTGGCACCCGGCTGATTCCACCCCACACCTTCAGCCTAGCCCAGCACGTCTTCCTCCGCGGGGGAGCCCCCCGCCCTCTGCACCCGCCAGCGGAGGCAGCCAGAGCCGGGGAACAGGGGAAGTCCCCAGCCAGCAGCCCAGAAGCTTACGTGGGCCAGGGGCTGCTTGTCCTGGAGGAGGAGGAATTTGTGGCTCTGCTCTGGGCTGGAATACTCCAAGACCAGGGCAAAATGCTCGATGTACCTCAGGGAGAGGCGGTCCTGGAGCGTCACCATCACGTCCTGGCAAAGCAACCCAGAGAGACACACGGGGAGGGTTACGGGGCCCAGCAGGTCACGGCTGTTTGCTTCTTTGCAGGAGGTGCTGCAAGAGCCGGGTCTCTCAGGGCACCGTCAGCACACAGCTCAGCTCCGTCATACCCCCACGTTTCTCCCCGCAGGCCTCCCCCGTTATCGGAGAGCGACTAGCTCCACTGAGCACAGGGCAGCCGGCAAGGAGCCAGCCCTCCTCGCATTGGGGGGAGCTCTAGAAAGGAGGCCCCAGGCTGCAGGTGGGAGGACGGAACGCAGAGTACGAGGTGGGCAGCTGTGTTACAGCACCTCTCCGATTGTGCTGTGGCGTCCCAGTCAGGCTGTGCTGGGTCTTAGGAGAGCAGCCTGTTATTATTAATGGGCTTTACAGGCTTAGGAATAATCCCCTCTCCATGCCGCTAATGTCCCCCCTTCCCAGGCCAGCTGTGTGCAAGGAATGCAAGACGTGGCTGCGAAGAGCCGTAGCTGGTGCCCGCGTGGGGATCACGAGGCTAGTGCAATGGGGCGTGTAGCACAGTGCATGCCAACGGCTTGAATCAAAAGCCAGTCTTCTGGAGACTGGAACAGGCCCCAAAACAAAGGTGGAGGCTGGTGAAACGGGGATCACAGAGGAAAAGCAGGGAAACCACAGCAGCCAGGGAGGAAAACGTGATCTGTCATCTGGGGCCGGGGCACAGGCAGCCAAGTCCTTTGCGCCAGGCTGCAGGAGGCCGGGAAAGGGAACAAGCAAAGGCAAAGAGGAAGGGCCTGCGGGATCAGAGGAGGCTCCCACCTTGACGGTTGTTCGGCCATCAAACGTGAATGACTTGATCTGCCCGTTCTCCAGGAAAACTTTCAGCACATTGGGGATGAGGAGGAGAGCTTCCTTCTTCAGCATGTCCTGGCAAACAGGCCCGGGGGAGGGGATGGAGCCAGGGAGAGGGAGGTTGAAAAGGAAGAGTGTGGGAACAGGAGACGAGGGGGAGGAGGCCAATGAAACAAAGAAAGTCAGGGCTAGTTGGTTCCTGCACTGTCTGCTCCTTCAGAATTACGCATCAAGTAAAAGCCAATTTCCCCCCAAAACCCAGCCTCTGCGCCACGCTCTTGGAAAGCACAAGGGCTGAGAATGTCAGAGCTGCCTGGTGGAGTCACATACTGGGCATACTACTCCATAGACGAGGGGGAGGAGGCCAATGAAACAAAGAAAGTCAGGGCTAGTTGGTTCCTGCACTGTCTGCTCCTTCAGAATTACGCATCAAGTAAAAGCCAATTTCCCCCCAAAACCCAGCCTCTGCGCCACGCTCTTGGAAAGCACAAGGGCTGAGAATGTCAGAGCTGCCTGGTGGAGTCACATACTGGGCATACTACTCCATTAGGACCGCCCCCCCCCCAATCTCCCATGATCCACCGAAGGCCCTCGCGCATCTCAAGCCACCCAGAAAACCGCTCTGCAGACCTGCACGTCCCATGCAGGCAGAGCAGCGCAGGCTTTTATTTAGCAAGCAATGTTTGAATCAGATAATTACTTAAATTGATTTTGTTTAAAAATAGAATTTGCTAGAAGCGCTTCAAGATTTATTTTTACTGGCGCTGCTTAACACAATCTTTGTGCAATTAAGAGAGAATGTCACTGGGATGAACACTGGGGCAGGATCACAGGCTCTCGTTGCTACAAGAAATACCCAGGCAGAACAGTCCCTTTCCCAGTCATTCTCAAAGCACAGGGGTTTACACCAGAGGACTCCTCATTTAAATCCACTGGCAACACCCTCCCACTCCTCTGTAAACCAGCCTCCTGCTGGGAGCAAGGGACACGGATCCTGCGCCAAGGATCCGTTTCTGAGATCCCAGATGCCTTCGTTCTGATGACAAAACTATCACAGCAGATCCGCCTGGCTGGCTCAGAGGACAGATTCTCTGGGTGCTTCAGCCAATCACACAAGACGTCTCCGTGCAAGCACGGCGCACTCTGAAAGTGCTATCTTGACAGGAACAAACTGGCTGGGGACACCCTTTGTTTTCAGGGTGAGCAGTAAAGGGAAAGAAAATTGGGCTTGTGCCCTTTTGGAGTCCTCAGGAAGGAGGCTTGCAACGTTAATAAAAGCTCTTCCCATTAGAGATCAGACCTTTTCTGTCCCGTTTGCCCCTGTAAGACGCTGGAGAAGTGGCATGGCGGACATCGCAGATACCCAACAAGTGAAACCTGACTAGGGGGATACGGATTGTTTAAAACAGCTGGAAAAAAAGATCTGGTACATCTCAAATACCTACTACCCCTCCGCTTAAGGGCAGAGATGGTCCCACCAGAGCCCTCCGAGGAATTCTCCAGCAAAGCCAGACACGTCAGGCTTCACACCCCTGATATTTCTCATAGATCAACAGGCAGGAAAAAACACCCACCCCTCACTGAACACTGAGCAAATATTAACCCACTACCACCACTAGGCCATGTCTGTACAATGCTGCCACCAGTCACTGCTACGACTACAGATGGCCGAAGCTCAGCTAGACCTGCCTGTGGACGCTGGGGCCTCTGCTCGCTCTCTCAGCGCCCTGCACACCCCTGAATACAAACTGACATTCACCGAATGGGAGTCTCTGCTTGCTTCCCGGCATGGCACATCTGCAAGCGACACAGGTGAATCTAGGTGTGCATGCAGGGGGTGGGAACCCGGGGAGTGCGCCACAGCCTTGCACACATAGCCCGGAGCCCCCTCCCACCCAGCCTCCTTTGCCCTGCTGTGGGGCAGTCCCAAGACCAGTCACTGGCATGTGCCCAAGCTGCCCTGAGAGAGAGAGATCCCCTCGCTTGTGCTCTGATCACCGTGGGGTGCACGAGACGTACAAATCAGTCTGTCCTGCCAGTCCACGGAGATCTACGAAGCAGCTGCTCCTCCTCCTTCCCAAAACACTAATCTGGGGCACAGAGGCGGGCCTTACAACTAGGGATGCTACGGTTACCCGGGTAACTGGTAACTGATAAGTGAACGTTTATCGGTTACCAATCCCGGTTAACTGCAACAACAGCTCCCCTTCCCGCATGCTCTGCATTTAAAACTCAGCCCCAGCCCACCGATCCGAGATTTAAATGACGAGCACGCAGGGGAGCCGCCTGCCATCCTGTGCTGCTGCCTCAAATACAGAGGCAGCAGTGCAGGGCAGCAGGCAGAAGCCGGTGTGACGTAGTGGGGGGGACCTTGCTGGTTGCTGTGCTGGGCAGTGGGTTGTGAGTGACCTCCACTGGCTGCTGTCTGCAGCAGGGCCCAGCAGGGGGTGAGTCATTATGCATAAAGGGTCTCTCAACCTGTCCAACCAGCTACCCCCAGGGAGAGAAACAAAGGAAGGTGGAATGCCAGGGCTGGAAGTGAGTTAGTTAGTTTCTGTCTGGGATCATGGAGGAGACAGTCTAGGGAAAGGGGCTGGAGTTTAGGGGCCCAGGCTCCCCCATCTCAAGGGGGCTGAGGCATCCTAGGCCTGCCCTGGAACCAGATAACATCTGTGCTGTGCTGTATCCTGGAGAAGCAATAAACTCCCCTGTTCTACCGGCTGGGGGAGTCTGTCCGTGCCCTTTCGGGGGTGCAGGAGACGGGAGAACCCCAACGCGCCGTCACACCCTGACTGCAAGCTTCTCCTCAGTCTGACCCTGCCTCCCTCGCGCGGCGACGCGGCACGGCCAACACGCCATGGGGCCGGGGCACCGGGC